AAAAATTGAGGAGGAAGGATCATTGCCTGTGAAAAATCCAAGGAACAACCTACTCCAACAACTGGAAACCACACAAACCAGTAGCTACATTGGTTAATTTTGTTGATTTTGGTTAATTTTCTTGATGGATTATTATCAAATAATCAAACCACTACAACATGGTTTCATTGCCAAATCCTTTAGTTTGTTTAGCACTTCAACTTGCAAGCCATTTTTGGGCAATTATTGGTTTCTTGTCAAATGAAATAGGTGCATGCCGTACAGTTAGATCTTTTTTTTTTGCCGAATCTCGACGGTGCGAGGAAATGCAGGCCAGAGGATGTAGAAACAACAACTGAGAAGTAGACCAGTAGAAATAGAAATCACAGACCGCAGCTGAGCAGCAGTCCAGTTGAAGCAACAAGAGTCCAGCTGAAACAGCTGAACAAGCAATCCATTTGCAGCAGAAATTGTAGGCAGTATTTAAGGAGTCGTCAAGCAGAGCAAAACAAAGCAGCTGAGAAGTAGTCCACCTAAAGCAGAAATCGCAGACATCAGCATTGGCGTGAACATTGGCATAAATAGTCCAGAAATTTTGTAAAATGCATGCACAAATGATCCAACCAGCTGAATTGGACACATTAATGAGCTTCTTCCAAGATGAAATTCAACAAATATTCAAACCACAATAAAATTAACCAAGTGATAAAATTAAGCAAATAGTCAAACCACAATAATGTATCATCAAAAGGCGAATTTCAACCCTTAAATTGTATTACAAATATCCAAAGTATCCAAAAGTATTAGAACAATACAACAATGGTAACGTAAATGGGCACAAAATACTAACTGTAGTCTTTCTCTTGCACAACTAGGTAATCTTTTTCTTGCATAACAATGCAAATCAACGCCACCATAGCAATAGAAATCACATCAGATAGACTAGGTAACAGAAAGTGGACATAAATACTATAATCTTCCTCTTGCAAAACTAGACGATCTTCCTCTTTTCCGTACCTACTATAGAAAAAAAAATAGTACAATGAATGTACTTGCCATTAGACGTTGACGTTGAACACGTGATCGGCAACTCCGAAATGTCTACCATTTCTTTAGAGCTAGAACAAGGCATGGAGCTAGAATAAGGCATGGAGCTAGAACAAGGCACAGGGTGCATACCCTATTCACCATCCCAAGAAAGATATTGGTTACGGTAAACAAGAATAAGAAATTTCATAAATTGAAATTATAGTACAACCATTAAAAAAAAAAGAACTTCTATAATGAATTTTAGATTGCTAACCATGAAATAATTTCCAAGATCTCTTTGAGTAACCCCCCATAGCAAGACCATATTGTTCTATCACATAAAAAAAAAGAAGAAGTAGATAATACAATAAAAAAAAAAACTACGATGTCAACAAGATAATAACATATACAATTTTCATAACTCACATTACAAAATTGCAAAGAGGAGCATTGACCATCACTTATGCCATCATTAACCGTTTGTGTAATCTGCGAATCCTACATGTTTAGAGTTAAAAAATTAAGACAGATCACAATAATAAATAACATCCAAATATTATAATTATAATTTGGATGTCAATGTCATACTGTCATCTCAATACTTTCTTGTGTTCCAAGTACGTTGATCATCAACAAGCCCAATGGCATCACTTTCACTCGGTCGGCAATCCTACAAAAAATAAAATAATGAAAGGAAATAATTACTACATTATTATTTTTAAAAATAGTCATTTTATTCACACCTCTTCTCCTTTAGTGGTATGATTTCCATGCGATAGCGCCTTCTTTTTCGTTTCTTTTTTTTTTCTTTGTAACTGGCTCATCTTTTGATTACTTCCTTTTGAATGGTGGACGGCCTTTACTTCTAACTACTAATGGAGTAAGTATATTCATATCCTTTGATATATCATTTACATCACCGGAGTTTCTACCAACAATCGAGCTGGGACTTGGTTGATAACTTCCACTACCTCCTTTGTTTTGTTGTAATTTCTCCTTTAGATCATGTATACAATCCATCACTAACGTGCACTTATCTTCATATTATGCCGNACGGTAAACAAGAATAAGAAATTTCATAAATTGAAATTATAGTACAACCATTAAAAAAAAAAGAACTTCTATAATGAATTTTAGATTGCTAACCATGAAATAATTTCCAAGATCTCTTTGAGTAACCCCCCATAGCAAGACCATATTGTTCTATCACATAAAAAAAAAGAAGAAGTAGATAATACAATAAAAAAAAAAACTACGATGTCAACAAGATAATAACATATACAATTTTCATAACTCACATTACAAAATTGCAAAGAGGAGCATTGACCAT